GGGGTAGGGGTACTTGGTTTTCCCAGAATCCCGCGGCAAATGGCCGTGGATTCGCAGCGACTACCGTATCGTACTGGGAATTCAAACCCTTCCCTCAACAGAGCGCCATCGGATGAAGTGAGCGCGACGCGAAGAGGACCGAAGAGTCAGCTGTGCTCCTGGCTGGTGTGTGGAATGTTCTTCCCAAACGGTGTGCAGCTCTAGGTGCTCCCACCCTTATGGCTATGGTTGATTAGAGCGCGCAATGTGTAAGTCAGATTCGTGATGGTTGTTTGGAGAATGGTATGTGTTTGTCTTCGTGAGACCTTCTTTCGGTGAGAAGTTCCGCCATCCTTCTGACTATGTAGAAGGAAAGAGGGGGTTGAAGAACCCATTGGCCAATTTCCTTTTGTGTTACAGTAAACCTCACTGGGCAGTGAAATGGGAAATACTATTTCAGGAATTTGTGGTTGTTCTTATGTCAGATACCTTCACGTGAGTTTCACATCTTTTCGACACGTGCGCTGAGTGTCATTTATACTTAGCGAATTTGCAATAGAAGTGGCTAATAATGGGATTAATAGCTTAGTTGGGGTATAGATCATTCATTACACGTCACCGCTGTTAGCTCCGAAAAAACGTCGGTTCATCGAGAAAAGACCCTAGACAGACCTCATCTACGTACAAATACGAAGGGTTCCTGCTGGATTAGCCACCCTGCTTTTGGCACGGCTGTCAACAATTACTGAAATCATACTTTGCGATGGCACACTTCTGTCGTCGTGAGGAAGCTCCATAGCTGTTGTGGAGAAACTACCGGTGTTGACACAGCGGAGTTGAGCGTGGTCCGATGCAACATTCTCATCAATATATCCATTCAGTACTTGAAAATTCGAATATTCTAAGCCCAAAGCAAAAGAAGTTGTTAATGTGAACACAAATAAGCCACCCATGCTTGGAAGTTTGTCGACCTTACAGATTTCCTTTCAGATTTAGCCATCATCATGGGCTTTACGTTTCTCTTTGTAATACTACCAACGGTTTTTTGTGCTCGACATCACTCGTCTTCGGGGGTAAGATATGTCAAAAAATTACCTACACTAATGAATGAAGCTGTTCGTTTTTGAGGAACGCAGGAAACCAGGAAAATCACGTGAATCTACCTCCACCCTAAGTGCTGCGAAAACGGTGAGATAATGCTGTTCTCGGCTGCGTATGTTACATATGAATAAACAAGCAGGCCAATCATACAAAAGCGGAGATAACTGCGGAAGCTTCAAAGGAATGTGTCATGCTGGCAAAGTGTTGTGCCTCTCATTCGAATTATAGGGCCCCTGGTACGGCCCTATAATTCGAATGAGCCTTAAATGAATTTGTGCTATGTCCCGACGAGGAATACCCATATGCTTAGACCAGAAGCGAGGAGCGGTAGGAAATGCCGACTTGGCGTTTACTCTAGCAACCCACAACGTCTGCCGTCGTCTGTCATACTCTTCTCCAACCGTCGTCTATTCCTCCAGCCTTCTTCCCCATCCATGTTCAGCATCCGGGAGTAATTTGAGTGCACCTACCTGCTAAATGCTCGATCTGCTTGACAGTGCTCCGTGAAATTCGAGGATTGGTGCATTCGACCTCTAATGGAATCGCTTGCTCCTGAAAAGAGGCCAACCGCAGCGCATCATGCTGCATACTGAAAACAAGGCACCCTTGGGTGCTACCTACAATCCTTAGCGCAAAGCGCTGGGTTTAGACTTAGCGGCGTGTCGCGCTTGTCGCACTCACCGCGTGCTGCAGTACCCAAAATAGGATACATTAGACAACACTTCCAAACAGACATCACGAACAAAGCTTTTTCAGCCAATGGAAAAACCAGAAGCGAGGACGAAAAAAAGGTTTGACCCACTAAGTGCCGTCATCACAACGACTTCCGTTCATCTTCTCTACGTTAAAGAAACGTTGCGGTTACAGCAGTGAACAGGGAAGCAGTCATTTGCCGTTCATCCTTGTCTCCTCGATTGTCACGCTTAGGCTTAGAAAGTGTCTTGAACTTCGAAAAGAACTGCTGGGGGAAAACAAGTAAATAGATAAGTCAGAAAAAGTTGGAAGAAATGTTAGAATGTAGAAAGAGGTGTTCACAGAAAAAAGAAAAACTAGTAGCGTTCTCTACAAAAAATGATAACCTGTAACATAACAAAGCCTTGTCTTTCACATACATACGTGCTTCCTGCAATCGTGTAAAGTCTTTGCTCAGCACATTCCATCTAGATTTATCAAACAAATCGTCGTCGTCAAAGACCCGGAAGTCTTTCGGAGGTCCTTATCTGTAGTTTACCGGATCAAGCGCTTAAATGCCCCGGGACTATTGTAGCAGCTTAAGGAAATTCAAAAACAAAAAGATCCCCAGCTAAGTAACCAGCCTTCTTCGAGCCCCCGCTAGTGCTGAAGTGGTCCCACGTTAGCAACAAGAGACTAATGAGAGGCCAGCGATGGTTGTTAGGCAAGAAAACTCGGTCGGTGGCCTCAATACCTACAGAAAATGAACAGCGGCAGAAAAACTGAGCCATTTGTGGGTACTGACGACGACGATGACCGACTGGATAGAGTAGTTCCACCAAACCAAACCTGGGCGGCAAGTTTTATTGGCAATAACTTCGAGAAAATTTTTAGTCTAAATGTTGCGACGGCTAGAAGAGGTCCTACGGTGCCAAAAAAGCCTTCTCTGAAGAAAACGCAGATGGACGTACAGTCGAAAGAGGTCTGTGAGTACGAAAAAAGAGCCGCAGAAGAAGGCCTTGTGATCCAGCCCGAACTCGTGAAACATATGGGGAACATCGACGAAATCGCTCAGGTTTGAAGCATGTCCGGGTAGTATAGTCGCAATTAATCGAATTTGTTTCTAGGGACGGAAGGAACAGCTAGATAAAGAGGTTGAAGTGATTAAATCCGACAAAGAACCTTCTGCTTTGATGCAAAAGGATAAAATGAAGGTTTGTACTAGGTTTACAATCTGGATTGGATCTGCGCGTAGCAAGCTCGTATGTAGTTGAACATTCAAATTGCTTACATCGGCTGTGGATGGTCTCCGGCCTCTTTAAAATTATACTGAACTGTTTTGACCTATATTGTGGGCTGTGTTTTGAGTGAGATTGAGGTCTGTTTAAAGGCACAGTTCGCGATAATTCAATGGGCGGGTATGTCAATGACGTGTCCGCCTCTCATTCGATGTCACGTTAGACTGTCTGACGTGACGTCGAATGAGAGGCGGACACTTCATTGACACATCCGCCCATTGATTTATCGCGAACTGTGCCTTTAACGTATAATACTTCAGGTGCGCATAAACGAGAAAAATTGTGTGCTGTACGAGACGAACGATGCGCTGACGTTAGATGAAGATTTCCTGGCAGATCTGTACTAATGTTGTACCTATTTAAATCAAAACGTACTTCTGATACAACTTTTGCAATAAAAGTGAATCTGTAAATGACCGCAATACGTCCTGTACCATTTCTCAGGCTGACGGTATGTGGAGAAAGTTCTTTTACCAGTTAGCGCTTTAGAAACGGGTTTAGAACCACGAAAAAGAAAAAGTCGGTGTGGACGGTGTTGGCAAGCACTGAGGTGCTATTTCCCGCTGGATATTCAAAATTCTCAAAATCAGGGATGCTCACGGAAAGTGAGGGTGAAAGCGTTCAATAAGGTAGTGAGAGGATTGGTCAGTGGCAATGACCGCAATATCGATTGTTGACGTTCTTGAATACGTTGAACGCGAACCCTCGCGCAATGACGCTCTTGAGGAAGAATCGACCGCGTAGATAAAAAATTGACAGGAGCGCAAAAAGCTGCGCTCCGTTCTGAGTTTCCGTCGAAGTTAGGTCGCAACGCAGCCCTCGCACGCACGCGGCGCGTCAGCCCGCGGACGGACATCGCAGTTGTCAGTGGGGCATTCAGCTTTAAGCTGAGTCCACGGCAGTAGACCGAGAAAGAGCATCACACGAACTAGTGCAAACCATTCGCTCTACTTCACTTAATGGTACAGCAATGTCATCTCGAGATCGCAACGGAAGCGAAGTGGGCAGGGTGACCTAGTTTCGACAGACGCGCGGAACGGACGTTTCCCAGCGCAAAAGGTGTTAGCAAATGTTGGCAATCGAACCCCTAGCCATTCCTGTTGATTTCAAAAGTATTTGCCGCAATCTATAAAGCACAAAAAGTCTTGCACCAACTTTTTCCAGTACTGTGTCCACCAGGAAATAAGGGCTGCAGCGCAAACTCCTTTTTGAGCCTTACTCGGAATCAGCAGCTGTCAGGCTAGGTGCGGCCGCGTTACTCAGCAAATGACCCATCGTGAGACATTGTGGCCACTCAGTTCTTTCCAATTCCATGAACTTCAAACTCCGGCTTCTCAATGTCATATAGCGTTGAAGTAAATCAATAACAGTGCAGAAAGTATATCAATTCCAAAACGCAATCATCCCACACACGTAGAACTATGCTGGAGCTTATGTTGGCTTATTCAACCACGGATTTCATGAAATCAGTGTACCACTGATCAGTTTAGTGAAACAACAATTTGTTTTCCGGTAAATAATGAGACAATATATAAGATTACTCATAACAACAGTAGCAACGACTTCGAGTTCAGCGAGAAACTTGAAAGAAATTAACATGATAGAATACATGTAACCCTCATGTGTATGTACACCTCAATTTTTGAGAGGCTGAGTTTCACCATTAGCACCGTCAATTTCGATAGATTTTCGTCTTGTGGCTGTTCTTCGTTTAACAGGGAGCAGCATTTCATCGAAAATATTGAAAGGCTTCTCGAATGCCAATGCAAAAAAGAATGCCATCAAATAGGATACGAAAATGGCCTCGAGTGTGTGTCGCAGCTGAAACGATATGTTCTCATGTATCCAACATCCTTGCAGAATTCAAAAAGTGAATGCACTTATGGGCATTAGGTATTGACCAGACCTATGAGACTAAAGGACCGGACCGTTATACTTAATGAATATGCTGGAGGACGCTTTTTTTTTGAAATTTTTGAAAAAGGCTTCCACATGAGGGGCGATCGAGCCTGGAAGTGGTGTCAGGCCCGCTCCTAATGCTTTCGTCTTCGAGGAAAATCAGAAAAACACGAGCGTGCGTCCGATGGTGTCGTAGTGGAATCAGAAAACGCTAGTATCAGAATGTGCAGTAATACGGGGAGGGAATATGGCAGATGAAATTCCTATAAACGCCAAAGTTCCAAAGCAAATGAGGCCAAATTTATTATGTGCAATTTTGTGGGCAGGATCACTGTTACTCACTGTAAGAAGCTTTAGTAATACTTGTCTATTTATGGTCTATTTATGAAGACTCACCATTTGGAAGCCAGTAGTAAAGTGAAATGGTTGAGGTCGACTGAAATTGTAGATCTGCAGCATTATTGGGTGGAGGAGGTATGCACAAAATGTGATCTTTGACAACGGCATGAAGAACTTCCAGCCGAGAAACGCTCCTACTGGACCTAAAATTGGTTGTCTCTAAAGTTGGTTGAATGAAACCTAAAAAATAATACAATGTCGCGAACGCGACCATGACTCTGGTCAGGTTTGAAGAGTTTCAAGAGGTCAGGTTTCAAGTGTTAGATTCTATATGTTTCTATGTTTCAGTTGCCTATATTGGTATTTCAGAAAGATCATGTGACACGATGCCCTTTGTGGGAATTGCGTGGGCCGGGGATCTTCGGATCCCGCGTACAATCGATCGTCTTGGGTCGCGGGTATATAAGCCCGCCAATCCACGTCGGCAATCAATCAGTCTCATCCGGCACGATCTCTCCCTATTTTGGTGTCACTGATCTTGTTTTTTGTGTTCAAGTACAATCCAAGTTTTGTATTGTATTGTGCTTTAATTACCCAAGTTTGAAGGAAACCGTGAAGTCGAGCCGTGTTGTGTATTACATTCGATAACACCCGCGTGGCACACGAAATCTAAGGCGAGCAGTTTGCAAGCGCACAAGACACAGGCAAGATATACAAAACCTATTTCAAGTGAGCCTAATCCTTCCAACGATTGAATCTCTCCGGAGTCGCTTAATTGGAATCGGACTTGTCTGGGGAAATGAAAGCACTGACTGACCTGTTCATCGGCTGGCCACCGCAAGTCATTGGTTATAGGCCACATACGAATTCAATAGACCACCACGATTCTGAGTGGAAGTCGAATGCGTGGGCGCATCCCTCAGATGGTAGTGATCAACGCCCCAAAACTTTACTTGAGACTTTGAGTACCGGCTCTTACCAAGAGGAATTGTACTTCCATAAACTTCCTATGGAAGCTAGTTTAATGAACGTTGCCTTTTCCAGTGCTATCGAATCTACTGCTCCAGAGCCGTCTCTTTAGTGTGAGCACCCTACGGCCCAACCCTTTTTCTCTATCTTTCCTTTTTTTCCTTTTTCTAGCACTGATATGGTCTAACGGCTAATAGCAGAACATCTTCCCAGAAGAAGAAAACCGTAAAAAGTTAAATAATACAAATACAATTCCCATCGTCACTTTGAAAGTTATCACCAACATCACTATTTGAAACACTCACTCCAAACACTCAAAACCGACCTCCATTCTTTGTAGCAGAAGCGAATGTCACCCATCCGAGCGCTAGAGCATAAGAATGTCTCCCAGCAATCACATATAGCACTCTCCACCACTCCGAAATATCGCCTGTACGGGCATATTCGTACAAGCCGAACACCGAATACAATCCTAATACTGTTGAGCAGATCCATCCAATCATTACCCATTTCTGAAACAAAAAAAGCTGTAAGCGGATAGAGTTATGATATGCGATGATAAATTCTTATCCATAGAATCTTGGCTCGATTCTCTCTCCTCTCGTTTCCAATCAATCCAGCACCCCTCCCCCCTGAGAATGAGCGGAGATGCGGGAATGAAGGTGGTTACGGTAATACGGTAAGATTGCATCAACCCCTCAAAGAAATGCCTTGACTGTGAGGTACTGTATCGACAGTCCACATCATTAAGTACTCGAAAGTACTTGTGTCCATTTCCCCCCTTTCCTACGATAGCTAACCCCGCTCCCCCTGCGATGTCTTACCCAACGCTCGACATAGACTATCAAGCTGAACTTATAGATTGGAGCAACCCCTTTAGCGATACTCTCTCGGTGGCTCTCTCTTCAGGTGATGGCAGAAAAGCTTTCTGGAAAAAACTAAACTAAAAGGAAAAGATTTTTGTTCAATAAGAAATACCATTTTGCATTCCCGAGAACAGAGCATCAAAAAGGTAAGAGCACTTTACCTTTTGCATTGTTACGACATTGTCTTTTTGACCTTGAGTCAGGTAGTTGAGAAGAAATCCGACGGTCACGCCAACAATAAACGGACCACAACGAATAAAGTTTTGACACTGGAATTTTCCTTTATGAAATCCAGTTCATGTTTTGTTTAACAAATAACTTGCAGCAACGTGCGCAAATCAAGGGTTACTTTCCCACACCGAAAAGCACCCAGTAAGCTGGAAATGGGCGCCTCACTGGCTTGAGCTGTTCCCGATATCAATTTTGGTCGAGTAAAAGAGGAAGGCTGTGGCAACACCTGCTCTACCTGCGTCTACACTCGGACAACCGGAATATTCATAAAGGTTCATATAGAAAAGGATAAAGTCTCGGCGTTAATCAACCCTGCCTGGGGGATGCGCCCTCACATTAGACTCCCATTCAGTATCGTAGCAGCGGATTGAATGCGTCTCGGCCGGTACAATGACTTGTAGTGGCCAACTGATATAAATCAGTGCTGTTATACCCCCGGACGAGCGAACCCGAGAGAACTGAAGGCTTGTTTGGCCTTCGCAGATATCGATCCGAGGTTCGAACCCGTGACCGTGCGTGTGTGACAGTGCGCAGCTTGCCACTACGACGTTATAGCCCATATCGCTAACCCCTTGTGATTGGTTCAGCTTCAACAATGCCGGTGAAACTCGTCCGTGGATATACACGGGCCAATATTTAAGCTTTTATAACTCCCTAACTAGGCCGTTTTCCGACCTAATAGTGCCAGATATGTTATACGCGGGGGCCTCGAATTCATCCTGTGGGAGGAATCTCAGAAACCCACAACAAAGGAGGTCTCCGCAGTTATTCTTATGTACAGGCTATGATTACTGAGATTAATCTTTCTTCAGCACTGCGGAATTTTCTTGACACTT